TTGCACCAACTTTTCCTAACAAAGTATTGTTTACAGTGTGAAAGTTATAACCTGGTAAACGCTAAGCCATGCAGTATGTGTTTGTTGTTGTTTTTGGGACAGTTCACCCTTCCAAGATAGGTGACTATAAAGGGATAGTTCAGCCAAATCTGAACATTTTGTCATTATTTACTCACCATTTACTTGTTTCAAACCAGTTTGACATTCTTTCTTATGTTAAACACAACAAAAAATATTTTGAGACATGCCAGAAACCTGTAACCATTGACTTCTATATATCTGTGTTTCCAACTATGGTTACAGGTTCTCTGCTTTCTTCAAAATATATTCTTTCATGTTCAACAGAATAAAGAAACTTGTAAAGGTTTAGAATCACTTGAGGGAGAGTAAATTGTGAGTACAGTTTTAGGTGGACGATTCCTTTAATGTTGAAGATCTTTGGCTGAAACTGTGGTCCTTGAAAATGAATGAAATGCAAGTCAGCAACTACAAACACTTTGAGGGTCATAAAAAAACATACAAGCAAAGCTAAATACAGCATCGACCCAAAGCAGATGCAGAGATGGACCCTTCTCTCAGTTGGCACATAATCCCAAATTCAGTTCTTTTCAGTAAGGTGTTGGTTTGATACACACAGAATGGTTTCTTGATATATCTTTGTTATTCTTTATGCTTGTAATTAAAAGCAGTCAAATAACACACAAAGTAAAACTGAAAAAAAAAGTTTGATTTGGATTATTAATGTTAATCAAATTTTTTTTTTTTCAGTTTGACTTTTTATGTTGTTATTTGACTGTTAAGAACTATTTTGGTTATGTGCGGCACAATGGGTAGCACTGTTGCGTGTGTGAATGAGAGTATTTGGGTGTTTCCCAGTGATGAGTTGCAGCTGGAAGGGCATCCGCTGTGTAAAACACATGCTGGATAAGTTGGCGGATCATTTAGCTGTGGCAACCCCAGATTAATAAAAGGACTTAGCCGAAAAGAAAATTAATTAATGAATCTAGTTATTAATATGCTAATTATGTTTAATAAATGAACATTTTCATTCAACATTACATTCAGCAGGTTATTTAAAACATTTAATATATATATATATGTTCCATGGGCATTTTCTTTTAGAACTAAATAACAATGATGTACAATGTACAACAAGTAACATTAATGGTTTCATATGAGCTCAATATATTACCTGGAGCCATGAGTATTCATTTTGTTTCTTCATATATTATTTTAGCCTTTAAAGTCCCAGAAGTCGATGACTCGCATTTTCTGAATATAGATGTTGAAAGATTAAAATGGCATGGTGGCTGAAGGTTGCTGGTTCGAGTCCGGGCTGGTCCAGTTGGCATTTCTGTGCGGAGTTTGCATGTTCTCTCCGTGTTCATTTAGGTTTCCTCCAGGTGCTCCGGTTTCCCCACAGTTTGAAGACATGTGCTATAGGTGAATTGGATGAACTAAAATGGCTGTGGTGGATGAGTGTGTATGGGTGTTGTTTCCCAGTACTGTGTTGCAGCTGGAAGGTCATCCGCTGGGTAAAACATATGCTGGAATAGTTGGTGGTTCATTCCACTGTGGTGACTGACCCCTGATATATAAGGAGCTAAGCCAAAGTAAAATGAATGAATGATAAAAAAACATTGTCAGCCAATCAGTACTCTATTTAAAACAGCAGACAACAAAAGTGCATCACATGCTTACAACAAACAGATTATTCATGTCCATTGGTATGGATACTATTGCTAAAATCATGTTCTTCGATGTCATTCTTGGTGTAAACACACCTTTCCAGTATGAATACGTTCCTGTTTTCCTTCACTGTGTCACAGTGGCACCAGCTAGAAATGTACTCTAACCCGCAAGAACCAAAGCACCCTGTGCTACCTCAGCTGGCCACTGTATGTATGTGTGTGTATGTAGCTATATATGTGTGTGTGTGTGTTTTGTGGCTCTGCTCCATCGGCCTTCTCTCAATACACCCAGTGCCAAACGGGAAGCCAGTTGTTCGTAAGCTTTCCTCTGTTCTTTTCTCCCTCTACCTTTTTTAGAGTTTGTTTTAAAATACTCCCGACCGCATTTCTCTCTCTCTCTCTCTCTTTTCGTCTTTACGACTGTTTGCTCTGAGAGTTTAAATGGTTTGTGGGGACGGCCCGTCTCGCGTCGTTACTGGGCAACAGTCTTCAGGAAGGAATTCAGAGCCCTCAGTAAATGTGCTTAAGGCTTAGACTCATGCAGCTCTCCAAAAACATGCTGTTGAAACAAGAGAGCCGAGTGCATTAAAGGCCCATTCCTCTCCGCGCAGGGAAAACAGGCGCATTTGTTGTTCTTACAGTTTCAGATGTCATTGAGAGTGTTCACTAGGTGGCGCTATGCCAAGATTGTTTTCACACCGTTATCAGACGTCTTTTGTATTCATTTTATGATTTTTTTGGTGTCATTGCTGGTGAGCAAACGGCATAAATGAATACGTTTCTCTGTCACTGCTATAACCGGCCCTGCGGACTTATTCAAACAGAGGCCGTCTGTGCCCGCCGTGTTCAGGCCTGAATGGAGGCCTGTGTGAAGATCTGCTGGAATATGTTGTATGACTTTCCCTGCCGACCTCCTGAGAATGTGCTGACTTTAAATCACGCATGGAGGCGTTTGTATGTTTAATATGGCCTGTTTATCTTCTGAAAGGGTGTAATGTAATAATTATCTTTTTTTCTGAGTAAGAGCTGTGTGCTGGTCAGAAGCTGTTGCTCCTCTGATTTATTTCAGAGCGAAGCCATCCATACCCAAACCCATCTGATCTCAATTTTCTCCTGTAGACAAAAACAACAACAGCAACGCAAAGAAAAAAGCAACAACAACAAGCACATGCTTGTGTCCGCACATCGGAAGGAAATCAATAAAAGAGGGAGACAGAGTAGAAAGATTAAAGGAAAAGCAGAAGACTGAGGGAGACGATGGAATTTTCTGCAATTATAGTTTGGCAAAACACAACAGCGGTCGATGTAAGAATCAACTCATTTAAGGTTTATCCTTTTATGCCTGACTCCATTAAAAAAACACAAAGACAAGAAAACAACAGTAGAAATGAATGGCTTTTGTGATATTTTAGCTTTTGTATTAAACCATATCAAGCTTGAAATACATTTCCAATCAGGTTTAGTATAACATGAAGATCTGAAGCAATTTATTTTATTGTCTGAAAGCAGCTGACTTTGTTAACATGTGATAAAATCAAAAGAATAGGCCTTGGTATTAACAGATTTATCACCCTTTTCAAAGACTTTTAAATAAAAAAACAATTGCTGTGTAATTTAGTTTTTGTAACTGGCCAGCTTGTTTTAAAGACACTGTTTTAAATTGTCTTGCTAATGAATTTTTAAAGTTGAAATTTAATTTTTATAGATAATAAAATTATATAAGATTGCATATTATACATAATAATTATAAATTATTTCGCAAAATGTTGTTTAAAGTAAAAAAAAAAAAAAAACTATCACTTACCAGATTCTAAACCGTTTCTTTTTATTCAATTGTTAAGCTATGAAGATTTATGGTCTTCTACAGTTATTTCTCAGATATCACTCCAAGTCGATCCAATAAATAACCAGTTTCCACCCACCAGATGTCAGCCATTTAACTCTATATGCTAAAATCACTGTTAAATGAAACATTTGGCCTTTTAGCAATAACAAATTAATTTTGCCATGCCTTTGTTTGACAGTTTTCCACTACAGTGTGATTATGATCTGAGCACAAATACATAAGCCTAATCTCATTCTGATATGCAAGATATAATATAGAGCAGTGATTCCCAGTTTTTTTCAACCAAACTTTGGCTGACTTTGACCTTAAATATTTACTTGAAGCTTAAGTTACCATATTTCTATAGTTTTACATACTTACATGTTCATAGTTCTCTGATTTCATGACATTAATCACTGAGTTGGTCACAATCCCTAATTCATTATTAACTTCTTATCAACCTGTATAATTACACCCCTTTCTATAGTCCAGAAGTTTTAAAGCCTGTATGTGCAGTTACTAAGTAATGTTACATTTAGTCATCTAGCAAATGCTTTTGTCCAAAGTGACTTACAATTGAGGAAGCATTCAATGATTCAACAAGTAGAGGCAATACACACAAGAAGTGTGAATTATACAAAGGAACTGTTTGTGCGCAGAAAATTACTTTAAGTGCTAGAATTATGAGGGGGTAGTGTTTGTTTGTTTGTTTGTTTGTTTGTTTGTTTGTTTGTTTGTTTTTGTTTGTTTGTTTGTTTGTTTGTTTGTTTGTTTGTTTGTTTGTTTGTTTGTTTGTTTGTTTGTTTGTTTGTTTGAAGAGTGTTTCTACAGGTTGTTTGTCAGGCCCTCTCACCTGTGTGAAGCAGACTTCTTAGATGCACAATCTTTTTTCTTTTTTTTTATATGGAGTGATTGTCTGGTGCAAATATGGGAAACTGGTGCTAGTGTCAGAGAAATAGAGATAAATGAGTGTTTTCTACAGGTGGTTTGTCAAGTTTACTCACTTGTGTGAGGCACACTCAGAATTTGAATTTGTTTGGGTTGTCGTGTGGTGAGGAGGTTTTGTTCAGCGGGGTTCAGGTGATCCCTGAACAGATGGAATTTTTTATTTATTTTATTTTTTATTTAGTTATTTATTTATTTAACAGGAAAAAAATTTAAATATAATCAGCCTGCCTCCTGTTTTTCAGCAGGTTCCTGCTCTGCAGAACATAAAAACCTACAGACACCCTTAACATCTCATCCATCAACACATGAAAACGGTTCGAACAATCACCAAATATAGAAAATGAAGGCAATTATCTTAGTGGCCACAGCGATATTTGACCATCAGATAACGACTATTTGTTTTTAGTTGTCATTTGAATGATACTATTGAATACACAGTCAGAAGATCATTCCACTGGCATAGAACATTGAATCAAATGTTTATTTTGTTTTTGCACCACACACAAATTAACACACTTATTATCTGTCCTCTGTAGCTTTTGCGGATGGTGACATTGCCTGAGAAGAGATGGAGGGCTCGACAAGGGGGTGGCGGTGCGAGAAGAAACCCATCCGGACCAGGTCAGACAGATGAGGATGAGGAGGGTCTAGAAAGTGGGGACTGTGATGATGAAGATGAGTGTACTGGTGTTTCAGGACTCGGGCCGCCCCCGAGACGCAAACGACTGCGCATCTTTGCAGGTCAGTGATATAACACCCACTGTTTTATTGTTTTTATTACTTCATTATGCTATTGTAAGTTTAATTTTACATTTTTATTAATGTTAAAGCAACTTTTTTTGCAAAAAAAAAAAAAAAATTAAATCACAAAAATGTGTTATTGCTTAGCCTAAATCACCATGGAAACTATATGTAAATTACTTGCACTTGAAAACAGAACTAATACTCGAACTCAAAAGAATTTTGAAGCAAAAAGAGAAAGGAATAGTACCTGTCATAAAACATGAATCAACATAGCATCAAGTCTATTGCACTGTGACTATTTTTACAAAACAATGTTTGTATTGAAATATTTTACATTAAAATGTATTAACAACTTGCAGTCATGTCACAGGGTGACTGACAAATTTGCATTTATAAATTTTTCACAGAGTGTTAGTAATCTTTACACCAGTAACTATTTGCTAATTTTATAGTTTGCACCATTACTTAATATGACCAGCAATCAATACGCAAATACCAGCATAATCAATCTTCTGCAACATTATTTGGATTCATAAATTACAAAATAATGAAGATTGACTGGTGTTTAAACTATTTACTGCTTCTCGTATAAAATATAAGCTAAATCAAATATACTGGAGTCATATAAGCTATTTGTGTACTTATTTAAAAGCAAAGAAAAATAAAGTATTCAATTTATAGAGTATATGAGATAATTATATTACAGTGTGGTAAATTTAATGGTAAGTAATCTAAAAATATTCAGAATACATTACCTAAAACCTTGAGTATGTTACTAACCACAATTTCCATCCTGTAATATAATCAGTATTGGGCTGCAATTTGTAAGTAATCTTCCCTTAACTATTAATCAAAATCAGGATTGTAGGTTAAAGCAATTACTTAAAGCAATACTTTTTCTTTTTCTTCTTCTTCTTTTTTTAGGAGAGTTTTGATTGCAATTTAAGGCAATTGTGTTTAATTTATGGGTACACTGATGCGCCAAAAATGCAAAGCCATATAGAAGGCAATCAAAATAAACTAAAGTTAGTAAAATAAGTGTCTCAAAATGCTCAATTTAGACCATGTTTAGGTGGACATTTTGAACATGTTTCTTTAAAAAGTTGTTCAGCAGTGTTTAATGCAGCCATTTTAATAAAAGGCGCATTTCCAATATGTAACATACATTCTTGTTATTATATCCTTCCTGAATAAATATAAATTCTAATGTTTGCATACTAATATCCTAAATTAACTTCACATTGCATATGCAAATAGTGTTTTTAAATGCAGCAATTTCATTGGCTTTGGTGCGCGTTGATGCATTAAACAAAAAAATGTGTATTACATTTAACCCTGATTGTATTCCATAGAGTCAAAGCACAGCTCAGGTAAATTACCCACTTCCAATGGTTATCTTGTATGCTTCAAACACTAGAGGGCCAAGATTCACATATTGTAGCTTTAAAGTTGCCCCAGCATCACAGGTACAGGTAGCGTCTGTTATCAGTGACCTTGTGACCTTATCATTGTCCAAGGGAACAAACAGGGTATGAGGGAGATGTTCCCTTTGATCCAAAACAAAGCACAAAAGAACCAACAAACCATGTAAGTGCAAAGAAACTAAACAGAGGCAAAGAATAACAGTAGAGGGGCAGGAACAAGGAGTCTGATACTGACTGACAAAGCCGGACCAGCTGAGCAAACACTACAGTGGGAGTTGTCGTCCTGCTCGTGTTGTTGTGGCAAAGATTTGGGCTCTCCGGGTAGCGCCGCCAGGGGCCCAGGGTTAGACCGAGAATCCCACGTATAAAGCACATATGGCAGAACAGGATAACGCACGTATCAGCACTCGAATTCACACGGAGGAAGTGGAGCGAGGTCTGAATGCTCTCTGAACTGTAAGCCAGTGGTGTTTGTGCGCGCATCCTCCCTCTCTCTCATGAAAGATTTACTGCTTTAATTATTAGGAATGAGGAGAATGCGTTTTGGGTTCTGGGATGAACAGTTGGCGATATATCTTTCCTGTCTTGGAATTTTATATCCCTCTCTCTCCAGTCTGCTCTGATTATCTGTTTGTTTGTGCGTTGGGACATTGGGTTTGCGACCTAGGAATGAATTACAGAATTGCTTCTGAGAGTGCAGTGGACAGCAGGCCAAAACGATGCTAAATGCTAATAATAAAGCCACGCAATCAATCATGCAGGTTAAGACGTTTATGAGGGAGGAGGAATCACTTTTGATAACTTTTGCGGTGGATGTCAAAGGTTGGGCTTTCCAACTATTTTATGGTGTTTTGGAATATGTTCATCATCGTGTAACATGGAGAATGCTTAAACTGTATTTTTAGGCCAGTTTCAAAGGGATAGTTCACTCAAAAATGAAAAATTGCTGGTAATATAATCGGCCTTAGGCTATGCAATTTGTTTTGCTGACTTTTTCTCTCTAAGTAGAACATTAAAGAGCATTTATAGCTGAAACTGGGGTCCTTGGTGCTTAATAAAATGCTTGTCGATGCTCCAAACTGGTATGAAAACACCTAGGATCGTTTTTCAGAGGTTGTGGAATAAAAGGTAACAATGTCGTACATAATATTTAGTTTCTTGAACAAAGCAATTGTTTTACTTCAGACCTCAATGTATCATCAGGAGCCATGGGGATTCATTCAGTTGTGCCTGTTTCTTAAAGTGCATTTCATCAAATCAAATTTCCAGTTTTAAACATTTGGGTTTTGCAAGCAGTAACTAAACAATGGTAAATTTGAAAGCACCGTTTAGCAGTTTAGTTTAATAGTTTGTTGGTTCATTCTGCATTTTAAATATACAAATATTGATATTTTTTTTGTTTGTTTTTTATGTAATTTTTAAAGACATTTTAAATATGTGATTAAACTGTGGTGCAAGCAAGAAGCAAGAAGGCTGCTTCTTTAATTCCCTGCTGGACCAGTTGGCATTTCTGCTCATCATTACTCATTACTGGAACTATATATATATATATATATATATATATATATATATATATATATATATATATATATATATATATATATATATATTAAATTTGGCCAATTCCTGTTACAAAGTCAATTCTGTTTTGATGACTCGATTGAGTTTTCTACTTTGCAGGATCTTAGCCATACCAATGTTTACTCGATTCTGCAGCTCCAAACAATGGAAAATTTGAATGCATCCTTACGGTTAGTTCATGAAGTATGTGTAAACGTTGGTATGACTATGATTCTGCAATCCTGTCTGTGTTTCTGCAGTAGTGAAGTAGAAAACACAGAGAATCGAAGATTCACAGCAGTACCAATGTTTACACATTCTTCATGCACTTACCATAAGGATGGATTCATATTTACCATTGTTTGTTGAATGTTTGCAAAGCCCTAACATTTTAATTGGGAATTTGAATTCATAAAAAAAAACATAGGTGACTATGATCCTGCAATTATGTCAGCATTTTTACCATTGGGCTGTAGCCCCCTATATTTCTACTTAACTCCCCTAAAACTTTTGGGATTAGCTCATAAACTGTACACTAATTTTTTGCCTCAGTTCCCTTTAAATTTGATAAGAAAATGGTGGCAGAATTCAGCTCCTCCCCGTCTATTATTTTTCATTTGATCAACAAACCACAGCCGTGGACAGCGAGAGAGCGAGGTGTGTGTTTATTGATAAATTGTTATGATATCTGCTTATTTGCAGTTCTTTGATATAGATAACCTCATGTAGGAGCAGTCGGGTTTTCTCTGCGTTCATCTCATCAGCACAGCTGTTTCCTCCCGTGAAAAATTTAACTCTTAAAGAACATTTAGCTATTTTTGTTTCAAAATGAACTACCAATATTAAACACTTCTTAAACAACAGTTCTTGTGACATCAACTATGCCATACAGTCTTGCACAGAAAGAATTAATCACAGTGACAGAAGCACTTAGAGTATGTACTCGTTTTAACTGTCACTGACAGAGATAGAAACATCAAGTGTTGTCTAGTATTAAAAATACTAGTCAAAAAATATATAAATACTAGTCACTAAAAATATGTCAATTAACCTGTAAGTTTAAAATATATGTATTTATATGTATGTCATTTAATTAGAAAAGTGGCAGTTTATTTATTTAATACATTGAAACAAAAATACACTTGAATATAGAAAGTGGTTTTTACTACAGTAAACAGGTAAGTTGAGCCTATCTGGCTCATTCAGAAATCAAATGGCTATGCCAGTCAATGCTATACAGTGGACTACTAATATATAACCCATATTAAACAAATATTTTAACTATATAACTATTAAATTACTACTTATGAATGTAATACTAAGCTCTAAGGATCCACCAGCCTGAGGCTTCCTCCGTTTAGACAGGAGGGGGAAAGGGGAGTCTGAGCTCAGGTAGGTCTCGAGAACTCCACTGTTGTTGGATTTAGGAAGGAGTGCAAGTAGTCAGGGTGGAAGGTTTTTTTTTTTTTTTTCAAAAAAGCGTGGATGACAAAGGTAAGGAAGGTGGATTAATGTATATGCATATGGAAATGTCTGATTGATTGGTTGGTCAGTGATTGATGATGCAAATCCAGCCGTGGTCAATCATAGCATGTGATCCTTTGAAACTGGTTAAAAAACTTCACTTAGAGCATTTTGTTCCTGTGCTTTTACATTTTCTGGTTTTACATCAGTTGTGTCTGTTACTTAGCAATTAACTTATACCCCATAAAATAAAACAGGGGTGGCCAACCCTGTTCCTGGAGAGCCACCTTCCTGCAGATTTCAGTTGCAACCCATATCAAACACACCTGCCTGTAATTATCACGTGGTGTTCAAGTCCTAATTAATTGGTTCAGGTGTGTTTAATATGGGTAGCAACTGAAATCTGCAGAAAGATGGCTCTCCAGGAACAGGGTTGGCCACCCCTGAAATAGAACAACGGCCTATAAAGTAAAAAAATTAATAATCATATATACTATTTCATCTATATACCATCTCAATTTGGTCATGTCATTGGCCCATGAACATTTT